GGCATTTGGTCTTTTGGATCTATGCCTTTGAAATGCCTTTTTTATTTTTTCACATTCTATTTTCCTTTGCATGTCTCCCCTTTTTATATTATACCATACTTTTAAGAAACCAAGACCGATACTTTCCAATATATATTACTTCTCTCCTTTTTAGCCTATAGTTGAATTTTTTTTTTTTTTTTTTTTACAAAGAGAGTCATTTAATTTAAGAGTACCTAATTTTAATTTCAGGGTACACTGTAGTGTATATATAATTTATTTTAAATGACAGAGAAAAAGGAATAGTGGAAAGTGACTTCACATATACCTCTAAGTACTTTCTTATTTAGGAAGTATAGTTCAACATTGATTTTCCTGGACTTTTCTTTTCTGGCTTAAAAAGAAACCAGCCCTGTAGCTGCTTAGAATATTATGTTATCCAGGGTGTGATTTTGCCTCTTCCTTTTCTGTCAGTAGCTACAGAGGTATAGACCAGGTTAGTATGAAAGTAATTGTTTTTTTTTTTCTTCTGCTACAAGTTTTCTTGAGTTATATAGTCTTTGAATGTTATCAGGAATTATCATTTCTACAGATTTCCAATAGCCTCTCCTTTGCTAACACAGACCATTTGCCTCTATTTTAAAATTTCAATTTTTTTAAATAAATATATATGTTTTTTAATCGTGAAGGTGGTTAGAGAGGTCTGGAAGATATAAATTTGAGAGACTTTTTTAAAAATATGTTTATTTATTTATGCATACAGAGCTGGGGTATAGGCCAGAGGTGCAGAGGTGGTGAGAGGCTTCACCAGAGACAGGTTGATGAAGTACACTACTGAGGGGAGCAGCTGGCAGGCCAGGCACCATGTGGATCACCTCCGGGGCGGGGATCAAAATAGTGATGCATAAGCTTTAACTTCTTAGTCCTGTGCTTTTACCGGCTGCACCACCAAGCAGGACCCAAATTTGAGAGACTTTTATTAGAACTTTATATGTTTGGGTTAGTTTACTGGCAAATTTTCTGAGAATTCTTGACTAAAAAATCTCTGTGGTTCTTTTAATCTCTTAGAACCTAAATCAATCTGATTCCATGATGACAGACATTTACTTTAAGAATTAACTTCCTTTTTCTAACTTTTTGTGCTCAAAAAGAATTCAGCATTTTGATCTACTTTATTAAGCTTGGGAACAAAAACTTCTCCCTGTGTAGATGGGGCTGGGATTTTAGAGAACCTCTCTAGCATAAATAAAGTACTACTCAGAGTTCACTATGTATCCTATTACTTCTAGGAAATATTCACTATAAATTGGAGTGCCAACGATATCTATGAGTGGAGACATTTCTCTAAGTAAAACAGTGAGCTGTATATACAAACATTTGCCAACTTCAGCCACATGTTTTCAGGTGGATTACTATCTCTATTTAAAAGACACATACAACATTATCCAGTGTGAAATATTTAGATGTATATAAATGGTATAACTGTTTAGGTTGTGTGATGAAAATAACAAAACCTGTCACTAATTAAAAAAAAATCTTTATTTTTTTAAGGTTTATTTATTTATATATACAAGACCTGGGGAGTAGGCCAGAGTTATGGGGGGCATTGGCATTGAGAGGATCCTCAGAGTGAGGTGCAGAAAAGACAGATCACTGAAATACATTGCTGAGGGGATAGCAGGTAGAACAGGAGAAATCTGCTGCACCATGTGGGTCAGCTTCCTGATGGCTGGGGATCCAACTCATGTTGCAGTGGCTGACAGTTGCTTGACTTTACCCCTGCACCATGAGGGAAGCTCAAAACCTGTCACTAATTTCTGCTATTATCAATTCTGTCGGCTGTTTGCTCTCACATAGCAGGATCTGAACATGAAATACTATAACTCCTTCATTTCACTTTTTTACATATATATTTTCATGCGACTTACAACACTAACAAACAAGAAAATGAGCCACTTACCAGAGAGTCACATTTAAGGGTGGCACATTCCATTCTTCTTCACTTGCAAACTGCATCTGTTTTTATGACCTCAGTGTGCAGAACAGAGAACAGCTTCTGCTTCATGATCATTTTATAAGTCCTTTTCTTTGAATCAAGAAGTCAATATGTGAATTACATTTGATGAGTAGAAAGGCTTTGTTACTTGACATATGTAGTTCAATGAATATTTTTAGTTAAGCAAGATTTATTTACACTCTAAAAAAGAATGACCAATATTGCTATTTGTTCTAAGAATGTAAATATTACATGTGGTATAGTGAAGTTTTTGTGGCCACAGGAGGAAGTAAGAGATAGTCTGGAAAGATGAAATCTCTTGTAATCACAAGTCCCAGAAAAGGTGTCACACATGCCACACAAGACCCCAAGGGAAGTGTTGAAAAGGGAAAACTAAAGCCAAAGAATTTATTGGGGTTTCTGATGGAAAGGCATCATGTAACAAAAGTGGTTTGGGATTGGCTAGTTTGAACTGAGCTTCTAGAGCTACTTTGGGCTCTAGGGCTGTTCTTCAGGTGCCTGGTACCTGGTCGTCGGGTGATTTAGAGCACAGTAAATACTGACTTGGTATGTGTGAATTTAATGAGGAAGTAAGTTTGAAGATAAAATAAATGTACAACAAATTCAGGAGGCAAAAGAAAGGGAAAGAAAACAAAGTACTGAGAATTATCGAGTTTTCATGAGAAAAACAAAGGAAGAATAATGGGTACTTGTAGAGGGCAGAGAGAGATGGGGGGACTGAAAATTTATTCAGAGATATAACAAGGGTCACTGATTTTTTTTCCCCCATTCAGTCTATGATACTTTCATAGCTTTCTCTAGAATCCTTCCTCTTTTTATATCACTCATGTCTGTTATTTTCCTATTTAAAGTTTCCGTTTCTAAACTTCTGTTCATAACATTCATTTGATTTTCTGAGTTTTCTTACATGTCTTTAACCAGCTTTTCTGGTGTTTTCTTCCCTTCCCCCCCCCCCCCGATTTATTTATCATGACAGTCTAGAACTCTGCATCTGATAGAGTAAAAAGCTCTTCCATTTCTTTGTAATTGGCTCCTGGAGATACCTTTCCTCATTGTGGTGAAACATTCCTTTGACTACTTAAGGCACCGTCCATTTAAGTTTCTACCTCCCCATTTTTAGTATTCTAGGTCAACCATGCTCTCAACTGTCCTAAGGATACAGAACTTCCAATTTTCCAGATGTCACTGAAAAGTCAGGGAGAACTATTCAATAGCTTTCTGGTTTGGGAGTCCAGGGTGGGCCCGGAGGGTTCTAGTCACTGATGAAAGTGCCTGTGCTCCCTCTGGCAGCACTCTGCTGGGACTCTAGACATATATCTCTAGTCACTTTAAGCTCACTGCATGGTCTTTCACCATATCAGCTTGAATCCCATGGGAATTGGATAAAGTAACAAAGCTGTGCTATGCATTGTCTTTTTCACTGTGGCTCTTGCTCACCTGGCTTATCTTCTCAGCATTTTCACACATATTCCCTCTTACTTAGCTCTTTACTAAGCAGCTCTTTCTCAAGGACCACCCTATCCTGGGAGTATGGGTTTGAACTTCTGTACACCAGGCCATTAACTCCAGATGTCTCTTTCCACTCATTGGTTGTTGTTGCAGCATGGAGTTTAGTTTCCTCACTGGCTCTTTTGTTATGGTCAATGTTTGTCTACATTGCACAAGAGGTCCTTTCATTTTACCCCAAGTCACAGAATTCTGTAACTCCTGTACCCCCAACTACTTTAGATGACCTTCCTGGGGAACCTCCTTTGATGTTTTACCCCCTCCCCCTTATAAAACATCCATTCATTAAAGTATATCATATCCAGTATACTTAATAGAAATGAGAAAGTATTACTAGCATATTTTACCCAAAAGATTAGTAACCAGAATGTTTGTTTGTATTCGTTGAAAAGAATTATATAAATAAAAGTACAATTTGAGTTTACATAATATAGCATTATACAATATTAGTTGCAGAAATATTGAAAATGCCAAATAATTTCAAGGTATTCAAGGATTTTTATCAAATATTCCAGAAAAGGATAGCCAAGTTTTTCTTTGTTTAAATAAGTGCACTCGAAATAAACACTTTGAAGACAAGAACTTTTTGTCTTGAATCCATAATAGCCTGATAAATAGTTCCTGAGTAAATGTAAGGCTCTTTATCTATTTTCTATTAAAGCAGGCTTGTAAATATTAAATTCCATAATGCTAAACATCCCTCAGTTTGTCACAAAATGGACACAAGGACTGATGGCCAACTGGAATTTGTCATTAATCTGCTTATTTTGATCAGGTAATGGGTGCTATTTTCTGTTCTTATAGTTTGCCAGGATTTATTTTAAGAGGTTGCAAATGTTAAGTAATTTATGCCTAACAACATTTCCATTAAACAGGTACTATTATCAGCTCCATTGTACAGGTGAGGAAACTAGAAGCTAAATCCATCCTGATTATGCCACTAACAATATGTAAGGAAATGAGACTCATACCAGACCAACTGCTTCTAGAACCCCTACTATTAGTCTGAAGCTTATGGTTAAATTCCTGCTGCATTGTTACTTTGACTAACTTTATTTATATTCTTTTTGTTCCTTTTTTTTTTTTTTGCTTAAAAAAGTTGCAAATAAACCTTGCTGTTTAATTGCTGTGGTTTTCTAAATCACTTTTTTTTTTTTTTTTTGCAGTGGGATGCCATCACTGAAATGGATGAGCACAATAGACCCATTCACACATACCAGGTATGCAATGTAATGGAACCAAACCAAAACAATTGGCTTCGTACAAACTGGATCTCCCGTGATGCAGCTCAGAAAATTTATGTGGAAATGAAGTTCACGTTGCGGGACTGTAACAGCATCCCGTGGGTCTTAGGAACCTGCAAAGAGACATTTAATCTGTATTATGTGGAATCAGATGAATCCCATGGAATTAAATTTAAGCCAAGTCAGTATACGAAGATTGACACAATTGCTGCTGATGAAAGTTTTACCCAGATGGACTTGGGTGATCGCATCCTCAAGCTCAACACTGAAATTCGAGAGGTGGGGCCTATCGAAAGGAAAGGATTTTATCTGGCTTTTCAAGACATTGGAGCCTGCATTGCCCTGGTCTCAGTTCGTGTTTTCTATAAAAAGTGCCCTTTCACTGTTCGTAACTTGGCCATGTTTCCCGACACCATCCCAAGGGTGGACTCCTCTTCTTTGGTTGAAGTAAGGGGCTCCTGTGTGAAGAGTGCAGAAGAGCGTGACACTCCTAAGCTATATTGTGGAGCTGATGGAGACTGGCTGGTTCCTCTTGGAAGGTGCATCTGCAGTACAGGATATGAAGAAATTGAGGGGTCCTGCCATGGTAAGAAACATTAAAAAAATCTATCATTCATTTAAGTGATGGTTTTTAAATGTTCATTTGTCATAGATTTATTTTCAAACAGCAATTTTTATTTTTTTTTAAGTTTGATTTTCTTCTCCTAGGCATGGTGTTTAAAAAAATGTTAAATGATATTTAGATATTTATTAACTAAAAGTAAATTATTGTTACAATTATGACTGCATGAGAGTAACCATAGAATTTGTGGTGCTGCTCTTGTAAGCTACAAGGAAATTCAGGGAAAGAGCAGTATGCTAATTGCCTACTAAAGACCCTTTGTGAGATAGAAAATAAATCTATTATTCAGTGAGATTGAAAAGACATTGGGAGCTTAAGGGTAAAACAAATAGATAAAAATTGAGTATTAATTGGTAACTTAATAAAGTTTTAAGAATATTTAAAAATGATTTTATAATCTAAGAAGTCATGTTATTAGCTATTATTAAATGCTTGTATTTTTATAGCATTGGTCTTAGAATTAAGTAATGGCATTTGATGACTAGAATTTTATACTTACTGTTTGCTCTGTGAAATTTTGTTCTTATTTATAATGCCTTAAAATTCCTTCAGATTATCAACCTATTTAGAAGAAATTCCAGAAACATCTGTTTTTATGACTTATCATCCTTATTATAATTTATTCGAGTGCAGTAAAATAGATGTGTGGGTACAGTACAAAACTTTTTTTAATAGCAGAAATTGAAACATTTAAACTTGAATTCCAGATCTGTGGCTTCCTGACCTTGAAATCAGTCTTCTTACCCATAAATAATGATTATAATCAACTAATACTAAATCAAATAGCAATAAAGTACAACTAAACTATTAAATTAAGGACTTAAAACTGCTAAATCAAGTTTTAAGAACTAGTAAATCTAGGAAATATGCCAACTGACTCCAAAAATTGCTATTTATGGACATGGGAGATTCAGAATACATGTGGACCCTCATTTTAAATTATATTCCAGTACTGCCAGTCTCCATTTTAGAAGATTTCTTCTCATTCTGATGCTTTGTCTTACTCTTTCTATCCTCTGATCATAAGTCTTACCATTGATTCTGTTGCCATCTAGTAGCAACTTATCTCAAAGCCAGCTCTCAGAATTACCTATAACGAATGGTAAATTAATTGGAACATCTACAAATAAACTGTAACTCAAGTTGTAATTTATTTAAACTGTTCACATTTTGGACTCCTACTGTCTGTGAATCTCATAGTATGTAGAGATAAATAAATGTAGCTTATACTTCAGCTTTCTATGTTGCTGAGATAAGAACTACCCAAAACAGCTTAAAATCAGTTACTTAATGATTTCTCAGTTCAGCGGGGTAGTGTTGCTTTAAAACTAAAAAATAATTTACGTAACTCTGTTGTACATTGTAAGCAGTGTTTTATTCTTGACTCAAATAGCAACTTAGGTTTTATAACCATATTTTATTTATTAATAGGTTATAATTAAAGATGTCATCTTTGAGCAAACTAATGTTATAGATTGACTTTTTAAAAAAATATCTTAATTTATTCCACTAAGGATTTAAATTAAAAATAGCATTGTTTTATAAAGCATAAATTTACTGCAGTCTTTCACTTCATTTTTCTAAGACTGTTTTAACACTGTATAAAAATATTTGGAAACAACATGCAATATTTAATGTGATTTTTGTTGAGTGGTGGATTTCTAAGGTGGCATGAATTACTGATAATCTCTTGGATATTAATTCAGATTAAATGGCACTTTTATTTAGAGATAATAGTTTTGGATTGGGAAATATAGTGCAAACATTAAGCCTTTTTATAATAAAGTATCTATGGAAATTGAGGTTTTGAATCATTAATAATTTTTAAAAAGTTTTCTCATTATACATATGCATTTATTTTTTCCTGTTTTACAACTCTAAAATTCTAGGGGAAAAGAAGGTGGCAATTCTTAGGCCATTGCATTTTTGTTCAAGATATGAATAGGATATACAGGGCCTTTGGTGACATAGCTATTGATTTGATCTTCTGAGGAGTGTTGTTATTAAGGCTTCAAGTCTCGGTCCTCTAGTGCAGTTCAGAAGCATTTATTCTCTGTGTTTATGATCTTCTGTCTAATCATGTTATCAGGAATGATTGTGGAAGCAGAGAGCATAAAGAAATTTGGAACACCAGGATTTGCTGGCATTAAATAAGGGGGTTTGAGGATATGATGAAAAGCTGAAAGGTGAGATTGGAATCTAAAAAGGGCAGACTTATTGGCCCAAAAGTATTTTCGCTTTCTAAAGGTTTTCACAAACTAAATATAAACTCTTACAATGAAACCTTCAATTCCAAATAAAGCTACTTTTTCATGAAGCAATTCTGGACTTCTATCCAGCTTGAGAAGAATATGAAATTAAGATTCTCGGAGGAGTCTAAGATAAGACAGTATAGTTTAATTGTATTATAGTTTGTTCTTTGTCACAGATTAAAAATAGGTAAAAATGGCTTAAGTGATAATTTTCAGTAAGTCATTTTAACCAAATTTTAAGTGTAATTTTAGTTGTTCTGTTTCCTTTTGCAGGGGTGGTAACTGTAAGTCATATCTCTATAGTTCTATCCTTAATTTTTTTTTTTTAAAGATTTATTTATTTATTCGTACAGAACTGGGGTACAGGCCAGAGATGCAGAGGGTGAGAAGATTCACCAGAGACAGAGTGGGGAGCAGAAAAGGCAGATCGACGAAATACACTGCTGAGGGGAGCAGCGGGTGGGTCAGGAGAGGTCTGCCACGCCATGTGGTCACCTCTGGGGCAGGCGGGGATCGAACTCATAAGGAAGTGGCTTTAGTTTCTTAGTGCAGTGCTTTAACCCGCTGCGCCACCAGGGAGGGCCTCTATCCTTAATTTTTAAAAAGAAAAATCATTTAACACTTAATACTTCTAGGAGGAGACAAGAACACAACCCAGTGAAATTACTGGTTTTTTTGTTTGTTTGTTTGTTTGTTTTTTGTGAATGTTATCTGGACTTTTCATAGTGTCTTTTTTTTTTTTAAGATTTATTTATTCATACAGAACTGGGGTACAGGCCAGAGATGCGGAGGGTGAGAGGATTCACCAGAGACAGAGTGGGGAGCAGAACAGGCAGATCGAGGACGTCCACTGCTGAGGGGAGCAGCGGGTTGGTCAGGAGAGGTCTGCCTCGCCATGTGGATCTCCTCGGGGCGGTCGGGAATCGAACCCATGCGAAACTGGGTTAAGCCTCTTAGTGCAGTGCTTTAACCTGCTGAGCCACCAGGGAGGGTCCCTCATACTGTCTTTTAAATAAACTAGGGATTTCCTTTTTTGATCAAAAAGAAGTAGCAATATATCACTGTTCATAAAAACAAATTAAAATGAAGTATGCTAAATTTAACATTAAAAGGGAAGATATTTAAATAACTAAAACCCTCTACTTCCATAGAAGTAAATAGTATTCAACTATATGAAGAAGGGGTAATCATTTTCATGTAGCACCCACAAATAGCAACAGAGAACATTCCAGATGAGCATTTCACTGGGTTATTATGTACTACATGGAAGATATAATGGCAACACGCTACCAGAGAAGACAAAGATCTTAGTTTTCACTAAAGTGGTATACATTAGTAAAGTGTTATTTTGAATAAATCTGTGTCTAGTCATATTAACTTATATTCCAAGCATCATATTATAAACACTAAAATTGTGTCATACTGGGAACAATTTTATATGTTTGTCAGTATATATCCAGAACTAGCATTTGAGCTTCAGAGGTGTGATATACTGTATCATTTCTATGAACAAAAATGTAATAATTTCATTTCTAGGACACATATATCTAAGCCATTGGGCAGTGCATTTCAAAGAAGAACAGAATTCTAAGGTAAATAGACATCTTAGCAAAAACTTGATACAAAAGAAAGAGAAGCTTTGAAGAATAGGGACTTGATATAAATACACTTAAATATTTGTTTTGATTTAAAATACCTTGTTATCCTTTCTTGGAAAAAAACATCTGTGATTTCATTCATTTGTAGTTAGTTTCCCTGGGGCACATATTAATATATATTTTTAAATCCTTTAAGTTGACTTCTTAAAAGAATTAAAGAAAATACTGAAGTCTTCAATTATGCACATGGCCTTTTCAAGATGTAGTTTTTTTTTTCTTACTATAATGTTTTCGCTTTTAGCACATAATGCTGTACATGGAAATGTTAGTATTATAAATAGTTCCTCATCGTGATTCTGTAAGAAAAATACTTTTTAACTAGTTACTAAAATTCAATCTAAATTTAGGACAAATTATCTGTTTTTATAATTGGTTCCAATTAAAAAAATAAGGAATATAGTATTGCTGAAAATGGTCTCAGTTATAGAGAGTGGTGATAAACTTAAAGTAATAGAGATTTCCAGTTGCTAATTGCTCTGCACAAGAACTATCTCCATGTGAAAAAAGCATGCAGTATCAAAATTGATGGGGACTTTCGGAATTTAAAAACAGACTGTTTTGTCTTCAACAAAAAAAAAAAAAAAAGAGAGAGAGAAAAAGAAAAAAAAAAGACAAGGAAAGCATGACTTATTTTTACTATTTGACAGTGTTAAAAGTTAAATTTTAAAAGTTACAAAATAGAGTGGAAGATGCAAGCCCTTATTTATTGGACAGTGTTAGAACAACCATTGTCTTGAATAGAATCACTTTATCTTTTTTGTATTTTTCTTAAAACCATTAATATTCTTATTGTTTAAAAGCTACTATGCTGGAAGAGTTATTTTTTATCCAGCACAGTCTAAAAGCATGTGTATTTTATCTGTGCTGATAAATATTTTTTATAAAGCCAACTGTAAATATGTTTTATTGTGAAAATTCCAAGATGACAATATTATTATTTGAGAACTTGTAAAAAGATTATTAATTTTCTAACTACATTATGATAAAGATCATATTCTTATAGTTTGATTGTGGGTACATTCATACGCTAGTATAGGCTACATAATGTGAACAC